CCTAATCATACAAGCTTTCGTTTCATTCACATATAAAAATACTGAACTTTGCATAATAATCTGGACATAATTTTTTTTAATGACATAACATAACATAACATCTCGCCTTTTATCCCCGAAGGGGTACGCAGAGGTGCACATTACGGCACTTAATGTCACTGTACAATGTAACACCCAATTTTCACTATTTATGTTATAAGTCCCATGTACCTAATAGGGGGTGAGCCTATTGCCATGTACCGGGCACAATTCCAAACTCCGTGCTACTACTGAGTTTTTTTTTAAACCCAGTAATACCTTGTCGGGCCCAGGAATCTAACCCAAAGAGGCCGAGACCCCTTTCCCCGGCAGTCGCACTTGCGACCACTCGGCCAACGAGGCAGTCAGTTTTTTTTAGTGCTCTTCTGTACCTATTCCCATGAAAAGCTTGACATGTCATAATTTCAGCAGTATAGAGACACAACATCTCGTGGTGGCGGGTTCGAAATCTACCAACGGCAAGTACCAATGTGACTTTTTCCGAGTTACATGTACTATCTAAGATTATTTAGGCACCACTGACAAACGGCGAAGGAAAACATCGTGAGGAAACCTGGACTTATAATTTCTAATAACAAGTTTGAAATCGCCAACCTGCATTGAGCAAGCCTTGTGAATAATGCTCAAACCTTCTCCGTGTGAGAATAGGCTTTGCTCAGCAGTGGGCATTTATAGACTGAAATGAAATAAAACCTTTATTCTTGCTGTTGATGATGATGATGATTAAAACGATGAACCTAAAGCGGTAACAAAAAAACTTACTTTCGTATGTATAATATCAGTTAAGATGGTTCAAATAACTATATAAAGCAGCTAACACATTGATGAACTATAGATTAACTTCAGAAAGCCGTACGCGAAGTATTTTGACCGAACCTCATTCACTATTTAAGTTAATGCCAAACCGCTTAGTTTAACAGCATTCTCATTAAGTTAATCACAACGATTTGAATTACCTCAAACTCTGAACAGTTTAAATTATACAGACCTATACTTTGAACTAAGTTATACATCTGTGGTTAATTGCTGAGTCTGCCTCGTTGGCCGAGTGGTCGCAAGTGCGACTGCCGGGCAAGGGGTCTCGGTTTCGATTCCCGGGTCGGGCAAAGTATTACTGGGTTTTGAAAATCTCAGTAGTAGCACGGAGTCTTGACATATGCCCGGTATATGGCAATAGGCTCACCCCCTATTACATGGGACTCATAACATAAATAGTGAAAAAGTGGGTGTTACATTGTATAGTGGCATTAAGTGCCGTAATGTGCGCCTATGCCTACCCCTTCGGGGATAAAAGGCGTGATGTTATGTTATGGTTAATTTCAAAATTTTGAAGTCACGCCTATGTTTAGAAGAATGGTTGTGTAGACTTTTTGCAGTAATATTTAGGGCATGTTTCCTAATGGATAGTCGCTATGTACCAGATAAGTGTGAATTAAAGACTTATTGACTGCTATTGACTCAGTTGGTGCGAGGTGCGCAACGTATCGCGGATTTGATTCCCGTACGGAACAACTCTTTGTGTGATCCATAGATTGTTGTTTCGGGTCTGGGTGTCATGTGTATATGGACTTGTATGTTTTTATACTCACTCGCGACACAGGAAGAAGTCTTAGTGCCTATTTTTTTATTTTTTTAAGGGGGGAAAATCATCGAATGACTTCTCCCGCCTGGGTGAGGCGGGAGGGAGTGTCAGACTCTTACTGACTAAAAACCACCCCGTTCCTTCTCCTGCACGTCGAGCCGGAGCCCCGGTAAGCCTTTAGGTTCTCCGTGACAACATGAAACAACGCTGCTTGCGTTGTGTTTCGTCATGTGAGTGAGGTTATCGGAGGTCCAACTACCGTCCCCTCTCCACAATCTCCCCAATCCCTAAATACCCATTCCTCAAATTCAACAATCCTCAAATTTCTAATCCCAAAAAGGCCGGTAACGCTGAGAAAAGCTCTACTTGTGTCGCGCAAGCTACTCTCTACATCGCAGCAACAAACTCAGCTCATGAGGAAGAACTCCTCTGTAGCTCGAAACTAATAGAGCTTTTCTCAGTATATCAACGTAGGTAACTCGCGATTTTTAGGTAATTTAGTGTGTCACGTTAGCTGTTATAAAAAAGTTAGCAAGTTAGTTAAAAAATAAATAAAATAGAGCCTCTTTTTCCCCATATCACTTAATGTAACTAGTTTCATGTCTCTCCTACCGTCACTAGTCACTGCATGTTACCGTTTTATCATTATTTGTGTTAAACCTAACCGAGTGGACTAACTGATTGGTCAATTTTAATCATTATTATCTTGATTATCACACGGGTAAGAGTGTCGTGGTGGGCCAGAGGCTTAAGACGCCTTTTTTTAATAGGACAAGCTCGCCACAACCTCCCAAAACCGCTGTAACTCCTGTAAGCCAGGATCTACTGTAGATACAACCATGAAAACACCGGAACACTGAAGTCCGGCGCGTCCCAGGGACATGAATAACTGTCTTGGTGCCCGCAACGAAGTGAATCAGAAGATATTATAAGAGGAGAAGAAAAAAAACTAAAAATTACTGCAGGAGACAGAGTGAATTAAGCCTAAAGGCACAAAGAAAAGAGACTGTACAACTGGGTGAAGCCCAGTCGCCAAGCACCACGGAAATTTGACTAAAATCTAAGTGGGTCCTATGTGTGAGCTGTTACACTTGCTTCCAGTAATAGGTAAAGGCAAAAGCGCCAAAACGCACGCAAATTTGTTCTAGATTCCACAAGGTCCTTATAATAAGCTGCACCTGACGAAACAATTAAATTATTTAACATAGTGTTACGTTCATACTGCCAGAGATCACACTCCCAGAGTATGTGATGGGCAGACTGCTCGTATTGTAGCTCCGCAGTCGAACATTGGCACCATGGTGAATCAACAAGTTTAAATGAGAACAATTTGCTTTTAAAGTTGCCGCGGCCAGTAAGAAATTGGGTGACACAGTGATCCACCTCCAACCATGTCCTCTCCAGCACGCTCATGCACGAATGGGAAGAACTGATATAGACCTTAATAGAAGTCTCATTCACATGAACGAACGCGCACCCTCATGCATGAGAAGCAGGCGTCGTAAACCTGCGTATCCCCACCAGAAAATAACCGAAACCAATTTACCCACACCATTTTCTTAGAACTTACTCTTAAAATTATGACTGCCTAACCTATTGAAGCATAAAGATTTTCTCTCAACCGCCTAGTAGCGAACATCACGACGGAGCTGTTAGCCTGTCATATTTTGATTCTATAATAACGGGTATTCCAAAGTTAGTAGTTTGAAGATATTGTTAAAATAATTCAGTAACATATCGTTACATCACGCCTTTGATTTCGTGTAGAAGAATGCTGTATGTGATATTAATGTAACTTGTAACACCGACTCTTTGCCAATTTCGTTTAAAGCTTTATAAAATGAATTATCGGCAAATAGGCTACAAGACAGCACTCTTACACCTGAATATTCCCGCGGAGGACTTAACGGGTAATCGGGGCTCCGGCTCGGAGGGCAGGAGTAGGAACGGGGTGGTTTTTATTCAATAAGAGTCTGTAACTCTCTCCCGCCTCACCCAGGCGGGAGCAGTCCTACCGGCAACCCGTTAAGCCTCCTCAGCTATTATTTTCTTACATGCATACTAAATAGGTTCTTATAACGAACATGTCTCATTTACCAATGAGGTTGTCCAATATGTCGGCTTGGCATTCAATTCGATCTCTGGTTGATTACAAACTGACCTTATGGTCTCAATTAATTATGTGCCAGCGTAGGTTTAAATAGCAATCGGGCACGCTAAAGTCAATTAGGAATTTGAAATTTATTTACTAACTAGCTTTTGGTTCGTCTATGTTGACATATTCCACGCGAATATGTAGTTAATAGTTAGATTTAGCCAGAGGACCGATCCTGCACGTAGAAGGCGTCGAGAAGGCAACCGCTTTAACGCCTAATACACTGAATCCCGCCTGCATGAAATTCAGGCGAATCTTTGGAGCCACGGGTGAATAGAGTGGAGACTCTAGGAGCCTATCCAGTGGCGCCGTGCACAGGGTCACCCGTCTCCCTAGGGATGTGCCGTAACAGGCGTTGCACCGTGGGGGCTCCGAAGCAGGTTTATTTTAGAGGACCCGTTGCCTCCATACAGGTGCTGAGGGTGGCCACCGGGAAGGTTTAAGTGAGGTAAAAATCCCACACTCCCTAGTCTTTCTCACAAAAAAGCTAGACGCCTTTTAAAGGTTTACCCCCGGTATAAAAAAGGTACTTAGATTGACTTTCGCGTTACTTACTTGTCAATCTTGATTTCTTGATAGTTAATTCTTCGCTGAAGTTAGTAACTGATGCCTCTGTGGCGTATAAGCGCGAGGCCCTATTGGTGCGCTGCGTTGCATCACATCTTAGCAACGACGGATTGTACGCCCCACGGGTTGCGACGACGCATGACGTTGCAGCTGCGTCCTAGTTCATGGTTCGCAATGGATAGATACAAACGTGATGATGATGTATTCGTCAACGCAGGGCAGACAAGAGTCGGGTGCTTCGACTCTTCTCCGTAGATCTGTTGAAACGTCGCGCACTACAATGCAACGCAGCGCAACTGACAAATGGGGTCTGACCTTAAGTATTAATAAGAACCTGTACAATCTAAAACTTGGTTGATACATGGAACGAAAAACGAGAAAATTTTCCAGGACACAAAGCAGCCCATGGAGCTACTCTAGACCTTAATCGATGTCGCGGAGAACCTAACGGGTAACCGGGGCTCCGGCTCGACGTGCAGGAGAAGGAACGAAGTGGTTTTTAGTCAGTAAGAGTCTGACACTCCCTCCCGCCTCACCCAGGCGGGAGCAGTCATTCGATGATTTTCGCCCCTTATAAAAAAACCTTAATCGATCTCGGTTATTTCAGAAATTGTAAAGTACAATCAAGATTCTAATTATTGTTTTTTCTTCCAACAGATGGCGTAAATTCCCCAAAACAAGATGGCTGCTGTATCGTCAGCCCACATCCAAGACTCGAGGATCAAAATACAAGACCACAGTGATGATGAACCGTACTCCCCCAACACACGAGACACAACCAGCCCAGAGTACCATGACGAGGAGAAAACAGAAGAAAGACCAGTACTGTCATCCTCTTTCGCCATACACAATGTCTTAAAGAAAGAGCGAGACAGTCATAGTCCAGAAAATGTCTTCTCAACAGACAAATTACTACAGAACACCCCTAATTACGAAGATTTACGAGAGGTTAACGAAAATTCACGAACTTCTGACATCATTGATGATGATGATGATCAGACGAACGAATCCAGGGCTGAAATTAGTATAGACGATAACTCTTGTTGTAGCGATGATACTGTTCTTTCGGTTGGCAATGAAGCGTTGCCAACCTTCGAGCAGAAAGGGCCTGAGACGTCGCAGAACTTGACTTCATTCAAGCACATACAGACGCATCTAAACGCCATATCACAGTTGAACCAAAATATAAATATGAACCAACCACTCCTCCTAAGGCCAAGCCCGATCACTCCAAATCCTTTAATGTTCCTAAACCAACCGCTTCTCTTTCAAAATCCTCTAATAAACCAAGTAGATTTAAAATCAGGCTTGCAAAGTCGGATGCCGGTAGCACAAAACAATTTGAACTTAAACCCTCAGCCTTTCGGTCTAAATTTCGGGTTACGGATGAAGAACCAGACCCAAGAATTAAGAAGGACGGATGAGAACAGAAGAATGAACTATGTCTCCCCAAAATCCCCAGAAAATGAGTCAGGGAGGGACTTTATTAACCAGAATTGTTTGAAATTTAGTATAGATAATATACTTAAGGCTGATTTTGGGAGGAGGATTACGGATCCTCTGAATAAGAGGAAGATGAAGACGAGGGTTGAGGCTAAAATGTCTCCTGTGAAGGAGGCGTCTCCTTCCAAGCCTGAAGAGGCAAGAGTTCCTGAAGTGAAGCCAGGAGAGAAGAGTGGAGCTATAGACTTGTCGAAAGGTGAAGATAGTGGGAGCAGTCAGAGTTCTGCTACTGGTAAGGAATTGTTCTACTTCTCTTGTTGTTTCTAGGAAATACAGACTCTTTATCTCTAATACAATTAGCTTGATGATTACTCGATAGCGTTGTTTTAATTCTAAGGCTTAGATCCTGAATTTAGGACTTGAGATATTAATATATAACTAAATTGTTAAACATTTCTTGATGTGTAAGAATATAAAAGATTTCTTCAGCACAACATCACAACATCTTTTAGCCCCAGATAGCTATCTATCCCTTATTGTGCCAAAACGTGATTCTATTTCCATCGTCTTCATAATATTATTCTACAAGTTATAACCCCAATATGTCCTGCAGGTACGACGATGGGGGACGGCGCCATGGTCTGGCCGGCGTGGGTCTACTGTACTAGGTACAGTGACCGACCCAGTTCCGGTGAGTTTGTACCAATTACTACCTCGTTTAGTCACCGGATTTCTTGGTTATAAGCGTTAATCTTGCGTTTGTTAAAGTGATCGTGTACTACGGCTATGGCGACCATTTTCAGGTTTATTAGATCTATACTGATTGAACATACGCTACGTGTCTTATCAGGGGGCTTACTCTTGAATCCAATTCTGATCGATCCACATTGGTATTGTGATATTTCGTACTCTTGAGTTGCAACACTAGCGCACATTGCATCCGTATTGCGTGGATATTGAATGAACTAAATGGTATTGAGTTTGGCTTTATATTCCGTACTCTGGATGCTGCTTTAACAGCTATGATAGGGGTTGTATAGTTTGACATTGAGTAATTATTGAGATTTTATTGGATTGAAATTGCATCGACATTGAGAATGGTTTTAAGAGTAAGCACCTAGGCAGTGCGGCTATGACGGCTATTTTACAGGTTTATTAGATCTATACTGATTGAATTTACGTTATGTGTCTTATCTCTTGTTTCTCTAAACTCGATTTCTAGAATTACATTGCCAGTACATATTTTATTTTAGCGCCTATTCCGATTACAGACACGTATACTAGAGATAAGACACATACTAGGGTTAAAACGATTTAAATGAAACGACACTTGAAATTGACAAGTAACGACTAACTAAGTCTAAATTAAATAAATAAAGCTCTTTACTATTTCAGGGAATAAAATATGTTTTGTTTCTTACGTTACTGGCCAATACAATAATAAATACATCATTACATTGTGTTTGTCTGTCAACGATAGACTCTGAAACTACTGAAGCGATTTCCCAGTAGTTCTCATCAGTGGATAAAGTAATTATTAAAGAACCTCGTTTGCAAATCTGCAGGCGGAAAAGTAGTTATCAATTAATAACTTAATTATTGTTGGTGTAATGTATTTTTAATGGGATAAGTCGGTAAACGAGCAGGCGGATCACCTGATGGTAAGCAATCGTCGTCGCCCATGGACATCTTGAACAACAGAGGCGTTACAAGTGCCTTACCAGCCTTTTGAGGATTCAGGGATTGCGTAGATGGGGTTGGGTGGAATTGGGGCTCCGATAACCTTGTTCACACGACGAAACACAACGCAAGCGTTGTTTCACGTCGGTTTTCCCGTGAGACCTTGACATTACTGCAGTCGAGCCGGCTCATTCGTACCGAAGCTTGGCTCTCCCACACTTGAATTCAGTATTATTTACCAACTTCTAAAAGTCTACCTGCAATACTCCCTATGAATATCCCTCCCTGACAATAAAGATTAACCAAATCTTAAAACACAGTAATACAGCATACATCCCTTTAACCACAATACCCAATGTAGTGGGAGCAATAATTTGATAAATACCCCCAAGGGTGCTGAGCTGAGATAAGGGGACACACCCCAATCTTACAGCGTTAAAGGGAAGGTTTTATTGGTATTGTAAACACATCTATCTAACACATGTTTTTAGATGATTATTAATTGGGATGACCACAGGGTATGAAAATGAAAAATGTAATTAGTCCGTAAGTTAGATAATGAAAAAATTTTAGACACGTATTTTTTTATTTTGTCGTATAATAAAACAATACTTAGATAAAACGAATCAAACTTTAGAAGTGGGGGCTAAAACGTCATTTCTACGTATAAAATGTACATAAAAGTGACGTCACGCGACATTTCAAATCAATATATCGTCGAAAGTATTCGTTTCTGTAAGAAAATAAAAAATATGTGTCTAATGTTTTAAAATAATCTACCAGACGGACATTAAAATAAAAATTAGTCGTCTACCCTATTATATGTATGTGATCGAGACTTCAGTAAAAGGTTTTTAATAAACTCGAAGTTTCGCTATTAATTCTAAAATGCCATTATAATTTCTACACTCAGTACTTGAGGTGGCCTGGAGGTTTAATACGCTTCTCACGCATGAGGGTGCAGGTCTGGAACTTACCAAGTGCAACGGCAAGTACCAATGTGACTTTTTCCGAGTTATATGTACATACTTTCTAAGATTATTTAGACACCACTGACAAACGGTGAAGGAAAAACATCGTGAGGAAACCTGAGCTTAACATTTCTAAATATAAGTTTAAATCGCGAACCCGCATTGAGCAAGTGTGGTGATTAATGCTCAAACCTTCTCCGTGTGAGAAGAGGCCTTTGGTTAGCAGTGGGCATTTATAGGCTGCTTATGATGATCCAGATCTGTCGTGTAGTGGCGGCATTAGTCTACCTACCCTAGTCGCACGGAGGCCTCATTAAAGAGGTGACCAAGGGACTATATTTGATAGAAAAAATTCTTAGAACAGACCCATAGACATAGTCCAGGCAGTTTTAAAGGTTCAGGTTTATTAAAGAGCGCTGCTGCCCGGTCTCTGTCTGATGTGTAGTCTCTTAGTAGGGTATACGACACCCGCTGGAAGACTAGGGGTGGTGGCAAAATGTATTCTAATTTATAGTATTTCTTGACTGGCTATTTCTTCGGACAGAAAATAAGTATTGCCATTCAACGTGGCAATGCTGCCAGTCTTCTGGCAACGTTTCCCGGTGGTAGTGATGTGGACGAGTACTTTGACACCCAAATAAGAGTATAATTTTTGTTGCTTTCTTTTTTTTACAACTTTGGAGTTGTAGTTAATTTTAAGCTGTAAATATATGTTCGATATCTTGAATAAAAATTAAATGATAATGCACGGTTGCTGCGGTGGCTGGACAACCGGCTGCCGTGCAACGTGTCGCGGGTTCGATTCCCGCACGGAACAACACTTTGTGTGATCCACAAATTGTTGTTCCGGGTCTGGGTGTCATGTGTATGTGAACTTGTATGTTTGTAATAAGTTTGTAAACGCACCCACGACACAGGAGAAAATCCTAGTGTGGGGCAACGTTTAAAAAAATATATACCTAGTAACTATATGACACAATGAAATACAGCACTTTATATTAATATTGAAGTATTCATAAACACAGCTACAAAACTCTTTTACAGACTTCTAATTCAAACAGTTGGTGCTTTTCAACAAAATTACTTTCCTAACAAATTGTTTCAAGTTCCGTAGATCAAAACAAACACACGTATAGTCTACAGCCTAATAGAATTAGGGATCATTAAGCATTGTGCAATGTAACTGATAAATAATGTATACAGAACCCGAGGGGGAAGAAATAAAAATTTGATTTTTAGGGATGGGAGTGTGTCGATAGTTTTTGGTGAATGTTATCGATAGATTTTTCTGTTAACGGATTTGTTTTTGTTTGAATGACATTTGTTTTTTTTTGCTGTTGTTAGGTTGTGTTCTTGGGTTTGTAGGTAAGGTTTTTATATCGGCTATTTTTTTTGTTATGTCTAGGACTTTGATTTTAGACATCATATTTATATAGGTTCGATGGCTCAACGCTCACTCTACTGCCACTTGTACTTGTTCAATCACACTTAGGGCCTATTTGTTTTGACGCCAAATAAATGTTAACAGAGGAATAACTTTGACTACATAACATTACGCCTTTTATTCCCGAAGGGTAGGTAGAGGTGCATATTAAGCACTTAATTCCACTGAACAATGCAACACCCACTTTTCACTATTTATGTTATGAGTCCCATGTAATAGAGGGTGAGCCTATTGTCATATACCGGGCACAATTCCAGGCTCCATGCTAAAACTGAGATTTTTTATAATTCTTCCATACTTAAAACTGTCAACTGTCAATTTTATTCCCTTAGTGTAGTTGACATACAGATAAAAGAGCAGGTTAGTCTATTTGTCGTATGTTACATACTAAAATGTGTTATAAACTCAACAGGTAATTAAATAATGGTGGAAAAAGACCTTTACCATGTCCAACGACATACTTTGACATTAAAACTTTGTTAGAAAACTGTTATTTTAGGAATTGTATAACATTTATTTAAATTATACACCTTTAGCGACCTTTTAAAAGAATAAAATAATTATTCCAACCATTATTACAATTATTATAATAAGTAATCCAGTATAATTTATATATTATTCTTATTATTCAACTGCAATAAACACTTCAATTGTACATAATAAATTACACGAACAATTGTAATTATTATTTCTGTCAGGCATGCCAATCGTCACGTAGGTAGGTACTATTAGTAATAATGCACTCTTTATTAAAATAATAATACGTCATTATTAATGTGTTAACAAGTATTGTAACTGATTATTTATTGTTTAAAATGATAACGTAATGTGAGGCTTGTTATTTATTGTAGTTGTAGGTATTTGTTTACTTTACGCCAATTTTCTTGTTTGAAAACCATTTTCGACGACAACGAAATGTCGTGGTGGCCCGAAGGTTTAAGACACCCGCTTCTCACGCATTAGGGTGCGGGTTCGAAACCTACCGGAAATACTATGTACTTTCTAAGATTATTCAGACACCACTGACAAACGGTGAAGGAAAACATCGTGCGGAAACCTGGGCTTATAATTTTTAATTATAAGTTTGTAATCGCCAACCCGCATTGAGCAAGCGTGGTGATTAATGCTCAAACCTTCTCCGTGTGGGAAGAGGCTTTGCTCAGCAGTGGGCGTATATAGGCTGTTGATGATGATGCTTGATGATGACAATCATTTTGACAAGCTTTTTCTTGAACTTTTTTTAATGCAATAAGCCGGCAAACGAGCTGACCGATCACCTGATGGTAAGCAATCGACGCTGCTCATGAACACCTGAAACAGCAAAGGCGTAACAACTGCGTTACCGGCTTTTTGAGGATTAGGAATTTTACGTAATGGTAACGTCTTATATGGGATGGGGCTGATGGTGGAAACGTACTGGATAAATAGTAAATTAAAAAAACCCACACTCCCTTATCTTTCTACCCAAAAAACTGAACTTCTTTTAAAGATTTAATCGACTAAACTTGACGTCGTACTGGTACTGGATGCTCGAGTCTCCGGTGTTGGCTCAAGCGACAGTCGCCGCGTGGCGAGTCGCGGAATGCTGTTCATGAATATGAGCCTCTAGCATGGCTTGAAACTAGTCGAGTTCCTCGTTCAAATAATTA